GGAGAGGCAAGAGCCTCCTTGGAGAAATGGTACGCATGCATACAGGGCTTTGCGGTATGGATATGATCGTGACAGGCGAATGCATCAAAAATAAATTCCTAGAGGAACAGCTTTTATTTATTCCACAAACATTTGTCCATTGCCCATAGTAATGCAGGCAGTACGCTGGGTACAAGGACAAAAAGCAAAAAGGTGGCCTAGTATACACTGTGCTTAGAAATGCTGAGTAGATCACTGCAACTTTTGTGTTTGTGAATGTGTGTGTGGGGAGGGGGGGAGTGAGGGTGCCGGAAGGCGGACTGTAGCCAGATCACGGAGGGTCTAGAATGCTTAAACTTTTTTTAGGGCAGAAAGCACAGGTCTCTCCTCAAATCCTGGGTCTGTTTCTAGCTTTGAGACTTTGGGCAAGTTACCTAATCTTTCTGTCCCAAAGTTTTCCTCTTTGGTAAAATGCGCACACCAATGCCTGCTCCGAATGGCTGTGAGTATAGTCATAATGTTTGTAAATCATTTATTATGGTTTCTGGCTTTTAGGGGCCACTCAATCAACATCAGGATAACTGCTGCTGAGGGCTTTAGGGAACCATCGGTGGTTTGGAGAAGGGAAGCAATGGAACAAATTTTCGAGAGATCCTAATGAAGGCCATAATTGGAAGAATGGATGGGGGTGAGGGGGAGGGATGGCGAGGTGCAGTCACTGAGCAAGGTTGCGGGAGACCAGGGAGGAGGCCGAAGCAACAGTCTAGGCAAGAGAGGAAGAGCAAAACCGAGGCAGTGGGATGGAATGGACCGAAGTAAGAACTATTCGGGTGGCAGAATGAGCTTGCTGACTCACTGGATGCAGGCGATGAGGAAAAGGAAGAACTCTGGAATGGAGACAGGCTTTCCAAGTCGTATAGCAGGTCCACTAGCCTGGATCTCTGATACAGGGGGAGGGGCAACCTGAAGGAGCAGGGTTGGGGCATTGGCAGTGGGGCAGGGAGGGGAGAAAGAGGCTGAGTTCCCTGGGGGGTATATTGAGGGAGCAGGGCCTCTTAGGAAGCCCAGTGTTAGACAAAACCAAATGCCTCATTGTTCTGTGAGCGTGAGACAGCAGCGAGAAGGCTCCACACCCGGAACAAGTCAATTTGAGGATTGCCAGGGTGGGCCTGGATATTGGGATTTCCCCTTAAGAGGCATTGATGAAGGACTTCTTTTTAACTCGTACCCCATGCAACTGATAATCTTTCTCGTTCTACGGCATCCCTTTTCATGCCTTCTAAGGCAGACCTAGAGATGACCTCCAGGACTCCCCCAAAGGCCTCCTGCACTGGTTCCGTGCTCCTACTTCACCTCCTCCACCAGTTTCCCACGGAACCTACCCAGTGTCTTCAGGCCTAATTCTGAATTATTTTCAAGTACAGTTGTTTTTAAGTCCAAAGTTCGCCTTTGAGGTTGTTTCCTGACTCTCTCCCCAGATGTGTCAGGTGGTTTCCCACAGGTGAAAAGACACAACGACAACAGGAAAACGAAAGTCCTCGCTTAGGCTTCTCTTTATGAGAAAGTGGCAATCGCTACCCTTCGGTGTTTAAGACTCGAAGGACAACCCAAGCACGAGGAAGGGGCTATTTCTCTGGGATGACTTCAGAGGTGTTTTCAGAAAACTGACTCCCTACTTCTTCGAGCCCCTTCCTTCTAGTTGGGGGGTGGGGAGGAGGGCATGCTTGAAAGAGACTCTTCCCTAAAAATTTTTCCTGGATTTTTTACTCCACAGTCACAGAAAGGACTAACATTAAAATATTCAAAGAAATAATAAGAAGCATACAGTGTTATTCAACTCAGAGATGAGCAACAGCTTGCCCAAAGCTCTGAGCCTGATGCCTTGCTCTCCCTTCCTGAGAGAGGGAGATCAGCAATGGGGAGAGAGGTGTTAAAGATAGACTAGAACCAAACTGAGACCTTCTGGATATCATTAAGGGGCTTGGGGAGTATTGGAAAGGAAGTAACTTTCTCATTTTATGGTTTTGTGTCATTAACTTCCAAGTCTCTACACCACCCAAGTCAGCATGGGTGCCAACAGGGTTCTCATTCCACTTGGGGAAGCCCTAGCTCCACTAGAGTTTCCTTTCTGTAGCCCTGCCAGACTGTAAGTTCCCCAAGAGCAAGAGCTTATTCTTGGTGCCTTGGATGCCAATGCAGCAATGCTTGGACACAGTTGGTAGTTTATAAAGGAACTAAGTAATAGCAAATGAAAATCTTCTTGAGGTGCAAAAGACCTAGGACAAAGTCTTTACTGAGGGGTGGGTGGCGAAGAGACCGCTGGAAGGCCTCCGAGTCTAAAGGGAGTCCGGTGAAGATCCCAAGAAAAGGGAGGCTACAGACGTCCGAGATGAAGCACACTGACAGCAATGCTGCCTGGCGAGGTCTCTGTTACGGCATAGTGTAGGGACAGTGCTTATGCTCTAGAATCAGAAAATTCTAGGGTGAATCCAGAATCTCACTTTTTACTAATTACATGAACTTTGGACAAATCGTTTTTCTCTGGGGGACTTAATTATCTCACTGTAAAGTGGTGATAATACTTCCCCTACAAAGGCTCTTACCGTATTACAGGATGGAGGTCAGGACTCAGGAGACTGGCAACAACAAAAAAAAGGGCTTTGCTCTCAAAAGATTATCTATCTATCTATCTATCTATCTATCTATCTATCTATCTATCTATCTATCTATCTATCATCTATCAATTATCTATCTATCATCTATCTATCTATCTATCATCTATCAATTATATCTATCTATCTATCTATCTATCTATCTATCTATCTATCTATCTATCTATCTATCTATCTTCTACCTACCTATCTTATTAGTTTCAGTAAACATTTGAGTTTATTATTGCTGTTCTTATTTTGGTAGTAGAATCACCAATATTCACTGTGGTTACCAGAACATTTTAAGAACTGAACAAATGCTTATTGGTTGAAAGAGTTACACTGAGCCATGATCTTTAGGAAACTATTACTCCCTCAGTCTAAGTCTACATCATCACCATCTGCCTAGATGTTTAACTCAAAAGTCTTGATTCCTTGATTTACTGAGCACCTATTAGGGACTAGGCCCTGTGTGGGGTACTGGGATGAGGTAAGGGGAACTTGATAAGCTGAACCCAACCACAGCTCTCAAGGATGTCAGAGAAAAATGAAGCAGGAGAACTTATCATTTATTCAATTTTTCATCTGTAGATAGGGCTTGTACGTGGAATATTTTAAGGGTGTGTTTTTGACAACACCTGGGCAAACTTGTAGAAATACTTAAAGTCCACAGCCATCTAAATCGAGAAAAAGCTATGAATTTGCAGTTCCCTGGTTATAGGGTATGCAAATGACACATTTGGAATTCTCACTGTTTGTGAAAACTAGAAAGGAATACTACTTGTTTTGAATCCATTCCTGTCTAGCCTCTCTGTAACTGAGGTAAATGACCAGGGAGAATTAAAAAGGCACAATGAAAGCGACTTGGCTAAATCTTTGGGGAAGCCATCTTACGGCTGAGGGAGCTAGCCTGTATCTACTGAGTGTGGGCTGTACTTTATATATCTCTGTCTGTATGTAAAGAATAGTTTCAGAAAATTTCTGTTACCCTTTGGCTTAATTATGAGTCACTAGAAGTATGTATGTACTTGCAAAAAAGTATTTGGAATGTGTGTATAGAAAGGGAGTTTTATGTTTTTTTAATGCGAAGAGAGTGTATATGGAGGGGAAGTGTGTGTGTGTGTGTGTGTGTGTGTGTGTGTGTGTGTGTAGTACAGATGGTGGGCAGAATGACAGGACCAGCCAGCCCCTTAGAGACCCAGACAGTGGTATAAGATACAAAGTGTTACAGGAGGTGACTGTTTTCCTCTTAGACCAGCTCGCAGGCCTTTGAGGAGCCCTTGACTTCCTCCTCCTCCTTGTCTTGTTAAAAAGGGATTAGAGTCCAATTAAGCCATTTAATCCCAAGGTAGAGATTCATGTTTAAAAACAAGATTTACAGCTCAGGGAAAAAAAAAAACACATCAGTGCAAGTTGAGGTTTGTCCTTCAAGTCGTCACCTCCACTTTTCCGAAGAGTGTTTTCGGCAGAATACCCGACATGCAGTTCTTAATTGCTTTGCCTCACACCTCTAGTCCTTCATGTTTTAAAGTGCCCTTCAACTGAAATAGCCACATGCTCTTAGAAGTACTTCTGCTTCTGAAGTGCCACAAGCACTCCTTGGTTTATTTCCCTTCAGCTGGCAACTCAGTGACCAAGCTTAATAACAGAAATATGAAGAGCCAACGCTTACTGGGGGCTTAGTATGTGCCAGGCATTGCGCTAAGCATTTATATACAGTATCTTATTAGATGTTCCAGGTGAAAACACCCTTCATGGATGTGTGACTTGTGTAGTCACACAGGCTCTGTGCTTAGAAGAGCCCTTTACTTGGCTAAATGTTCTGCCGCTGCCATCCTGAAACTCTTAATCATTTCCGAGCAAGGGACCTGCATTTTTGTTTTCACCGGGTCCTGCAAATTATGTAGCCAGTCCTGAAAACACTCAATAACTTATTGTTTCTTTTTCTTTCTTTTCCTTCCTTTCCATCTGACGTCTAATACATTGCCAGAGGCTGGAGCAGTGAATCTCAAATTGTGATGCCAGAACCCTCTCTGGAAAACGGGTGCTATTATCTCCTTGCAGGGAAGTTCTCTGAGGGACAGGAACCATGCCGAGGCTCTTAGCATGGGGAAGCAAAGTATCTGTGAAAATTCGGCAAGTTGTTAAACTCCTCTAAGCCTCAGTTTTCTCATCTGTAAAGTGGGGATAACAATAACACCTAACTCACAGGCTGTTTCAAGGATGAAATGAGATTATGTATATACAGCTCTGACGGAACACTTATGGCATTAGTTACCATGCATTATAGACGCTTAGCCAGGTGTATACTCCAGTATTGCTTGTGACATGGTGTGGATCACTCGCCCTTATCCCGGGGCTTGTCCCTACCTGCCCCAGAGAGCTGGGAGGAGCATCTGCTTTCTCCATGTGCTGGGTGATCACAGATGGGTTGCTGGAGCTGATAAGCACTGGAGTGCTGATCTCCACCATGTGGCGCCCTGGGGGAGAATGGACCATCCTGTTGAGAGTGTTCAAGGCTGTCGTGATGGAGAACTGCCCAGGCCCCTTCCTCCTGGACCCGGGACCCCTTCGGAGGGTTGGCGTGTTGGCTGCTTTGCCTCTGGAGGATGAGGACACCAGGGACATGCTTTTTGTGCGGGATGACTGACGGCCTTTGTTTTTCTCTAGGAGGTGTCTTGCGGTGAGGTTTGGCTGAAAAGATAAAAGATCCGACGAGAAGTTAAGTCTTCCTGATCTAATATGAGCATCTAAGTCGTACCTAGTCTGAAGGCAGTTAAGATGCCACCACCTCAGCCATCTTTTTTTTGGTCAGCTTCCATCTTTTATCAATATGCTCCAATTACTTTGCTATATCAATAGACTCTTATAACTCTCTTACACAGTGGGTACTACTTGTTTACTCTTCCTAAGGTCTAAAGAGGTTATAAGTAAGCCATATACTCTTCCCTGATGGGGAGAGCACTCCTCCTTTACTGGCCACCCCTCCAACCCCCACTGAGTTGGCTGCTTGTCCTTCTTGGTGTCCCTCCAGCCTGCAGCCCCTGTGTTTTCCCATCATGGCAATTTTCACCCCATTGTGTAATCATTGACTTTTCTCTCACTGGACCGCTAGCTTCTCTGCTATAGAGTGGATGCTGAATGAGTGTTTGTAGAACAATGCGTGGATGAAGTTGCTCAAGTTCATATATTTGATAAGTGTTTGAGCCAGAATGTAAACCCATCCATGATCCTGAATCTTAATGCTCAGACCATCTTTCACTACTTCCTTGTTCTATACACCTCTTAGTGGTGTGCCTGTAAACCGGCAAAACAATCAAACGAACAAAACTCTGATTTGTAGAGTCTACCAGTTTCTGTGGTGTAAATGTCTACTGATAGTTTAACAACTGGTTAGCAAAATTCCTGAAAATATAACAACAAGCTCTTGCAATCTAGAACCAACTATTTCTAGCACAACCACTGGCTGCATTATGTTTTGAATACCCTGCCCCTCAAGAAGCCCTGTGAGCTCATTTCCTTTAGAAACCTGAAATATGTTGACAAAAAAAGGGGTTTGTGTGAATGAAACTTTCCAGGAATTTTACTTAAATTTCCATCATTGTGATTGTCACCAGTTGCCCTCTAAAACCAGGTCTTATTCTAATCCAGAGATTCAACTATAGCGGTAAAAGGAGATGTGCCCACTTAAGAACTTTTCAATGACAATGTGCAGATGATTAAAATAGCTAAGATAGAAAAATTTAAAGCCTAAAGAAGTTTATAATATTGTGGGGAAAAAAATCATCAAGGAGAGGAGGGGGCATTATTATGTCCACTTGAAAGATAAGAAAGCTGAGGCCCAGAAGGGGTGACTTATAAATGGCAAAGTCAGCATGAAACAACCAAATGAGAAAATATCTGATAGTAATAAGTGCTCTGCTGTGCTGGAGAGTGACTGGTGGAGGCCGCTACTTTAGATTGAATGGGGGTTTGGGGGAGGTGCGGTCAAGGAAGACCTGCTGAAGCGGTGATGTTTAAGCTGAGACACAGATGACAAGAAGGAACCAGCCATGGGAAGGTGGGGGTAGGAATGTGCAGGCAGAGGGGTTGTAAGCTAGTGGAATGGTCTTAAAGTGGGGGAAAGCTCAGCCCGTTTGAGATTAAGACAAGAAAGAAACATGGGAATGACTAGAACGGAGGGAGTGAGGAGTGGGTGGTAAATAGGAGATAGGCAGGGGCCGGGTCACAAAGGGCTTCTTTAAAAAGGCTTAAGGTTTATTTTAAGTGTAATAGGAAGCCTTTGGCAGGATTTAGGCAGAGGAGTGACATGATCTGATTTATGCTTTTAAAAGCTTATGCTACAGTTTCGCAGTTCTTTATAAAGTTAAACATATACTTAGCCTCTGACTCGGCAATCCCACTCCTAGATAATCACCCAAGAGACATAAACACTTACGCTCACTCAAAAAATGATATGCAAATGTTTCTAACTGTTTTCTCCATAATTACCAATAACTGGAAATAATTGCAATGTCTTTCTGGTGAGTGAATAAAACCTGGCACATCCATACAGTGGACTACGACTCAACAACGAAAAGGGGATGAGCTAGTACTGAAGTACTGACACGTGTAACGACGTGGGTGAATCTTAGCTGCACAATGCTCAGTGACAGAACCCAGACTCAGAAGGCTACTTTCTGCGTGATTCCATTTCTATGACACTCTGGAAAAGGAAGACTACAGGAGCTTTAAACAGATCAGTGGTGGCCAAGGGTTGGGAGTTAGGGAAGGGGCTGACTACACAGGGCAGCGTTCCCCTGTATTTTTTGGGGAGAGAATGTTGGAACTATTCTACATTGTGATGATGGTATGGTTACACTGAATGCATTTATCAAAACATGTGGAACTGGACACCACAAAGAGTAAATTTTCCTGTATATAAATAAAAATAAATATATAGGAAGCTCATTATGGCTATTATTTAGAAATGCCAGACTAGAAGGAGTGGGACCAATTAGGAAGTTATTGAAATTGTTTAGGCAGGCTCTGACGGCACAATGTCTTACATTTCCAAAGTACCTATCCCTCCTTTGTTCACCCAGCCAGAGGACAATGTACACTCTTCGAGTGAATGAGTCAAGTTCTTTATGGTCATTCACAGCTATAACAAAGTTAATTTTCTTCTCCTTCCACCTGATTGTCCTGTCCCCAGGTGAGTCACACCATCAGCATTTCTATCAGCAACCCTGACAGAGGGCCCTGTGTGACTCTTGGTCCTTCCTGTCCTCTGCCGACATGATTAATAGCTCAGTCGGGGAAGGACTGCACATCTCTTAAATTCGCATCCACTCATTTGAAACAATATCCTCGAGGTTCATTGGGCTGGGCAAGATTCATATAAGCCAGGTGGAGAAGTCCTGACAAGAATGGGTGTGTAAGCTCAGTGATTGCTTTACCACCTTTTTATCCAGGTGCAATTCTATAAGTGATACATTAACAAGAAAAATCCTCTTTATGCCAAAAAACCCCACATCACTCTCATAAGAAAGCTTTCCTTCCTTCCAATTGCTTTGCATGGCATTGGCAATTCAAAACTTAAAGAGTTCTCAGCAAGTGCTAGTCTTAATGAAATGACTGAAGTCAAAATTTAAGTACTTCTTTAGAAAGCTGAAGTAATTTTTGAAAACCAGGTTTCCCAGATTAGAGCAGCCACTTGATTATCTTTTTCCCCTCCTAGCAATTAGGAGAACAAATGGAGCAATGGCTAGTTTGATGATAATCTTGAGGGTTCTTGTAATCACCAATTTTAGAGGTGAAGTGGTGGGGAGAGTATCCAAATGAATAATTATTAAATATAGAAGTTTTGGGAAAAAAGGGCATCAGAAATGGGTAATAAAATCAGTGGTGCCTTTTCCCTCCCCCAGAGATAGATATGAGAAGCTTCCTGAAATAATGCAGGGGACCATGCAAGCTCTAATCTGCAAAAATTTAAGCACCTCCTCCTATGTGTCCAACTGGATATTCGTAGTAGCTGATCTCTGTCCTTGGAGACTTAGCTACTGTTTCCCAATCAGCATAACTGTTCCTCTTCACCAAATGTTGCTCGATCTAGCAAATGGCTACACCACTAACCTAGGCACACAAACCAGAAAGGGGGCATCACTTCCTCTCCCCTACTCCCCACTTCTGTCAATCTCTGTGTCCGGTGGATCTACTTCCTGAAAGGTTCTTGAATCCGGCCACTTGTTTCCAATCTACTGGCCTAAGCCATAGCCATTTTCTAACTGAGCCATGCAATAGCTCCTAACTGCTCTTTCTGCCCCTTTCTCCCTCCTCTTCAAATTCTTCCCACAGCAGCCAGGGCAGTCTTTAAGAAATCCAAATCCGATGGAATCACTGCCTCACTTAAAAACTTTCAATGGCTTCTACTGACTTCTGGATCAAGTTCAAACTTCTACGATATGGCAAGGACAACAATACTCACCGAATATTCTATGAAATACCCTATACTTCTTGGCTGACTTGAAGACAGGTAGGGCTATGTGACTGGTTTAGGCCAGTGGGCTATGAGTGGGAGAATGGCAAGTGTCACTTCTGAGCTGAGGTATTTGCTGATATACAACTCACTTTTCCTCACCCTTCCCCGCCCTTCCCCTGCTATGAAAACTAGGAAGTCTATGTATTCCAAATGGTGCCACTACAAGATGACTCAGCCTATTAGTCTGGGTTTCTTATGTGAGCAGAGCTTAGTCTGTGACTTATGTGAGCAGAGCTTCCCATCCTTCTATGTTGAACATATAATGTGGATGAGAAATAACTTTTTCTTTGTTAAGCCACTGAGATTTTGGACTGTTTATTACCACAGCATAGCCTACCTCATCCTCATCAACATAGGATGGTTTATGAAGCTCTCTGTGATCCATCTCCTATTTATTTCTCTAGCTTCATTTCTTGGTCAATCTCTTACTCTCTAAGCTCCAGCTCTACTATTCTTTTGGTCCATTGGATATATCACACTTCCTCATCCTGCAGGACTTTTGTACATGTTACCTCTATTCCCTAAAACTCTTCCCTCCATGCTCTTACCTATATAACTCCTAATTAGCTGTCAGATCTTGGTTTAAGAGGCATTTGCTGACCCGGATAAGTTGCACGTCATACCGTCCCTCCCTGCAAAGTTCCCTCTACCTTATTCTTTGCATCATTCATCACACTTATAATTACTTGATTAACGTCTGACTTTACACTCTGAAAGTAAGGACCCATACCTGTCTTAAAGTATCTTTAGAACCGAGCTTAGACCTGACATAGTAGGTACTCAGTGAAAATTTTGTTGAATGACTGAATATATATTTAGGACGGGGGTCACTGAGTGGCTTATTTTCTAAAAGTTTTCCTGGTCAGTCTGGCAACCTCCCAAATATTTTTTCATTCATTCACTTGTTAAGCTAATTTTTTTATGGAATACCCGTTCTATGTTAGTCTAGCCCATGAAGTACAAGCAATATGCCCATTGGGTGTTCAGAGAAGTAAGAGACAACTGAGTGTTCAACTATTTGCTGAAATTTTATGGAGAAAGTGGGTTTCTAGCCAAGCCTTGAAAAATGAGTGAAATTTGAACAGGTAGAGAGAATTGGGTGGGTGTACCTGGTAGGGGCCTCAGCAAGCGAAAAAGCATTGTGAACGAGAATTTACTAGCAACAGAAGACCAGCCTCGCTGGACCCATCCTCCATCCCTCCCTTCCTCTTTTCATCGCTTCGACACCAATGAAGTAGAGGGGACATAGAGGACCTTAAAAGCTGGACAATGTTCTGGGCACACCATTCACTTCAGAACCTCCTGAGATGAATGAATGAGATGGTTTCTTCACTCCAACTACGCCGCTGTTATGTTTTCATCCCACTCTCCTAGAGAGTGGGGAGCATGCCTTTTATTTCTTTCATAGCTTCCCACTGCTCACCTTTAATGTACAGGCCTGGTAAGCACCCAATAAATGCAGTTAATCAATGAAGCCTCTCTTTTAAATTCATAATGATCTGTTTCAAGCCAGGGTGAGGCTGAAGGCCAGAGAGGTTAGGGACTCCAGGTTATATCATTATATTGGAGAAATAGGTAAATAACCTAGCATGTGTTCTTGCTTTCTTTAAAAAACAAACAAGTAATATATGATCATTTCAGAAGATTTACAAAACACAGGTCAGCAGAAAACAGTGAAAATCATCTAGAATCATCATCTAGTGGTCACTGCTATTAATATTTTGGTACATTTCCTTTTAATCCTTTATTTACATATGCACACATCTATTTATGAAGCTAGTTGTATATAGTTCAATTTGTTTCTTTTTATCGTAGTAAGAAACAGCATAAAATTGATATTAATCATTTTTAAGTATACTGTTCAATAATGTTAAGTATATGCACATTGTTGTGTGACAGGTCTCCAGAACTTTTTCATCTTCTAAATCTGAAATTCTGTACCCATAAACTTTATTTCACTTAACATTAAATCATAAACATTATTCCATAATACCAAATACTCCATGATACTGAATATTCTACTGCAACATTATTTTTAATGGGTATATATTTTCCATCGCCATTATTTTTAAAAACCAAATCCTCACTGTCGAATAGTTAGATTATTTGTTTTTTACCATTATACGCAATGTCATAGTGAACATTTTTGTACATTTTATACATATGTCTTTGCATTCTTGTTTTAATATTTCCTTACAATAAACTCTCAGATGTGGAATTGCTGACCCAAAGGAAATGTGTACTTTCAATGCTCTTGATATGAGTTTGAGTTTAGACATGAGAGACTGTACCAATTTACATTCCTAACAGCAGAATGAAAAGGCCTATTTCCTCACACTCTTGCCAGAACTGGGTATTATCATCTGGCCTCTTTTCTTTAGAAACTTTAGTTAGTTCTGAAATAAGCCCCAGATCAAACAGAAATTACTCTCAGGAATCACTGTAGCACACATACACTTCTGAGTAAGCCTGTATTAGATATAGACTTGATACTCACGTACCTCTACAAACAAGATGGGAAAGATGCCTACTTTGTCTCCTAACTTTCCTTCTGCCCAATTCTCATCCACTCGGCTGATCACAGTGATGATATCATCCTGAAAGAGAGAAGTCTTATGGTCAGCGTTTACTCTTGGTTTTCAGGTGGCAAAAGCTCTCAGTGGACACCAGCTTGGAGTCCCAGATGGAGTAAGGTGCAAGAAATGTCTTATCATGCTTTATTTACAAAATTTTCCTGCTAAATCATCTTTCTTCATACAAGGCAGAATTTGGGTCACCAAGACCACAAGAGAAATAGAAATAATTTAGAGGATCAATGGAATCCAATAGGAAAATTTAGAAATGTTTCTAATTTTTAATTACCAGCAGAATCTGGGCTTTTTATTTAAATTAATCTGAAAGAGATGGAGAAATCAAGATAAAGGCCATTGGAGACAGACTTTTATCTTAGAAAAAAGAAGCCTGAATTTCATTCTGATTTTGAAGATTTTTCAGAACCTATTCAATATTTAATGTATCAAATGTAAAGTGGCTTTTTATTCAAACTTTTTCTTATTACAAAAGGTTATATGTAGAAAACATTTGAAAATACAGATAAGCAAAACAAAGAAAAAATTCTGCTACAATAGAGATAAACCCACTGTTAACGTCTTAGTTAACACATTTTTTCCAGATTCTTTTCTATGACGATAAAACATATATAAACATACATATAAACATACTAATTTTTAAAAGCTTTTCCACAACATACATACATGTATACAATAAAGAACATAAGAACACAAAGTTTAGATGTAAAGCTTAACGCATTTTGTATTGATTATAGAAACAAAACTTCCATCCATATCAAAAGTTATAGAAAATTTCTAGTACCCAGAAGGCTCCTTTGTGCCCTTCCTATCACCGAGCAAGAGGTAATCAGTCTTCTGCTGTCTGGCATATATGTTCATTTTGCGTAGTCTTATACTTCATACAAATGTAGTTATACTGGATGCTCTGATTTTTCATTTAACACCATATCAGGGACACCTTTCCATGTCCATACCTGTTCATCAATCTAAACCTGAATGTTCATCCACTGACCTCTCTGACCTTCTGATCCAATGCCCCATGCATTGAAATCTAAATTAATTTACTGCATTATACCTTTTCTAGTTTTTTCTGTCTTTACTACAATTTGCAATGACACATTTAGAGGTAATTATTTCTTTAATGCCTGTCTAGCTCATCAGATCATAAACTACACGTGTGCAGGGCCCGTGTCTGTTTGTTCATTTTTGTGTCCCCAGCTCCCCTTTAGTAGTCACCCAGTAAATATTTATCGAATGCGTGCATGCATGCATGAATAAATGAATGTGTGAATAAATTGTATAGTTTACGGAAACAGAAAACACCAGGAAAAGGGCAGCTTTGGGAAGGAAGGTCTTCAGTTTAATTTGGACACGCTGAGGTTAGGAAGACCATGGGATTTCCTGGTATGGTCTCAGCCTTCCTTCCATAGCCCTCCAGAATAGATCAAATTCTCTCTTCTGGTTCCTTGTCATAATTTCCAATTTACATGTCTATTCCTTCCACTGAACTGCTGGCTCTGTGAAGGTAGGGACAATGACTCATCACTTTATCTCCAGAGGGCAGTTTAGCACTTGGGTGGGCTTACCAAATGAACCAAGCAGGTGGAATAAGTGTCCTAATTTGTAAATTCCCAGAGAGGAGAAAAAAGCAGATAACACTTCCTGCCTATGTGTTCCTCCAGTTGTGTCCCCAGGGCTCAGTGTCTAATGCTTAGCATAAAGTAAATACTGAATAAATAGTTGTGGAATTGAGCTGTCCTTCCTCTCACTGCAGTTGAAGTATAGACTTTGCAGTTTGGGCTACAGAATGACCTTCCTTAGAGGACTCTGAAGTGCCAAGAAAATAATGATCAGTGTTTTAAACTATGAAGAAGAGTGAGGTTATCTGGTTTGAGAGACTCTGAAATAAATCTCATCACAGTCCATGGAAGTGATGGAATAAAGATGCTCTACACAACAGAAGACCTTTCTTGAGCTATTGTAACAATGCCATTCCTCCTATTTGATCTACTTATAAGTAGCAAAGAATGGAAATCACTTCAACTTTGGTTTCTATGAGAAAATTTGAATGTTTAAGGAATAATAAATACTGAACACAGAGAATTAAAGTAGTCTAGACTTCAGCAGAAGTGTTCTTACTTGCATATGGTGAAGAATCATCCAATAAAAAAAGAGGCAAAAAAATCTTAGGGTAATTAATGTCCTTGGAAAAATATATCTTGAAAGAGGTTATTTATGTATAAAGGTATAATTATGTTATGATGTGTATTTTGAGTGCTGTGAATGCAATGTTTACAACAAAATAGACTGCTATAAATGAGAAGAATTAGGTGATGAGAACTTGGTCAGTAAGAATACCCTTACAGATACATGATAGAGAGGTAAAAGCTATAGTTTTGCAAGCATGCTATCAAACCATGTTTATAATTTTCTGTCCACATGCCTGTTTCCCCCACTACTCTGTCTGAGGGCAGGGACTGTGACTTGTTCATGCTTATCCCAGGTGCCTGCAAAGAATAGGTGCTCAAAAGTGATTGTCGAATGAATGAATCAAGGTGTAAATACTTATTTTTGTAATCGCAATAGAAAAAGTTTAAGGATTTCTATCAAACTGTTATTAGATTTCTCTAGTGAGTTCACATCTACGTAGTTTGAATTACACACACATTACATATATATGCACACATATATACATACATATATACATTTATGTATAAAATATATCATTAAGAAAATAAGCAAATATTAAACGAACAACTTTAGGTTCTGTCGTAGTCTCTATGTGATTGCTAGTGACTTTGGTGGCGGCCCAGAATCTTACCTTGAGGAAGGTCAGGCAGTCCTGGTTGTCACTCTTGTCTTTATCTCGTAGGTCAAAGTTGTAGAGGGCCCGGCAGAGTGGGGGCGGCTGGGGCAGCTGCTTGATGACTTCCACCGAGCTGGCTGGGAAGAACCCACTGGCTCCATTGATCTCCCCCTGGAACCAGTTCTCATCCAGCTGTCTCCGGAGCAGGATGACATCTCCTTTATTAAACCTCAGGTCCCCGGGATTCTGCCCTCGGTAGTTGCATAAGGCCTTTGCTCGAGGCACCTGCAGTGGCACAGACCAATAAAATGCAGACTTAGCTTAGAGGCTAGAAGGACAGAAGGTATCAGATTACTAATTAACTATTGACCACTTCCTTTGCTAAGTGCTGTATGCGAATCGTCTCTTGGATCTGTAAACATCAAATGCAATGTTTACAACAAAATAGATTGTTGTAAATGAATAGAATTAGGTGACGAATTACATGTTGAATTATACAGTAGAATTATATGATCTGTGGATCATATCTTTGAGACAGACATTCTAATTATCTCCATTTCTAAGTAGGGTGACTGAGGCACAAAGTAGTTTAGTAACTTGCCTAAGGTGATATAGTTGGGAAGTGGCAGATATAGGATCTGAACTCAGGCCATCTGATTTTAGAGCCCCTGTTCTTAATCACTAGGCAGGGAACAGGATTTTGGACCTGACTCCACAACTATGCGAACTTGATTGTCTTATGTACTTAGCTTAGAGCCGGGAGGGTCAGTGACGCCTTCTGGGGCCTGAATACTGATTTTGAATTCTGACTCCATCGCTTTCCCTGTCTGTTACTCCAATTACTCGGTCAAGTTATTTAATCTTTCTTAAACTGTATTCACTTATAAAATGGGGCACAAATAGAATACCTACCTCATTAGAGTAATTGTGAAGAATAAATAATATCATAATACTTTTAGCATATTGTTTGGTATGTAGTATTTGCTCAATAAATGACATCTCTTATTATCATCATCATCTATAATGGAGGGCTAATGATTTCAGTTCTACCTATTCCTCAGTATTGATGGGAAGAAAACTGAGGTGAAAAACTCCCTGAGAATAGAAAGCGTTATACAAGAGTGATGCAACATAGTTTGTCTTCAGCCTTCTCTAGAATGGTAAACCTCACTAGTGTTTGAATCATTAGGAAGCACAACTGAGACAAAGAAATAATTAATTAGGAATCAGTCATCAAGTTAAAAAAGTCAGCTAAAGAATTGTCATTTGTCGAATCAGTCGTCTGTCTAAATAACCATTTCATTCAAATGTACTTTTTTTTCCTAATAGAAACTGGTTTTTCCACACAGAAATGGCCTCTCTCTGGCCTTTCTTGAAGATAGTCTGGCAAACTGAAAGTTCTAATAATGTAAGTTTAATAGAAAGCCTGTCAGCGTCACCTGGGATTGTATTTTGTGTTTTTCTTAGCACCGGGGTGAAAAAGTCCCCTCTTCTGGGGACAGACTGCTATTTGTAAGGGGGTGTAAGATGGCATTACAGTTCTTCAAGGAAATTCTGAGTCTGCAGTGTTCATTTGAAAAGGAATTTCAAGCAGCTTAGGGGTAGAGACGAGATCTGAACAGCATGATATTGCTGATGAGATGGGAGAGCGGTGCTTTTCTGCTGGTCCCAGGACACAGTAAGGAGAGCCCGGGAAGTCAGAAAACCACAGGAGCACAGCTCCTCCCCTGGAAAACCAGCGGACAACTGAGCAAAGATGTGTGTGCTCGGAGGTTTAGCACAGTGCAGTGGAGAAACGAAATTGATTGAATAAATTATGATACACCCACACAATAGAGTTCCCTGCGGTCATTAAAAGTGATGATGTTGATCTATAATTGATAACACTGAAAATACTCATAATATATTGTTAAGTATAACAGAAGAGGCTAAAACACTTACGTAGACTAGGCTTTCGTTATAGTTATATATGTTTATTTTTACCTGGGGAAAATGCTAGATGGCTCTACACCAACATTTAAGAGTGGTTATTTCTATGGAGTAAGATTACTGAATATTAAAAAAACATGTTTCCCTAAATGCTTAGCAGTGTTTTCTAACTTTTCTACAATGAAATAATTGTAATGCCTATTAAAATTAGATAGTAAAAATAAAACGAATGAAACTAAGGAGATGAGAAGTGAAAAGTATGGGAGTAATTTAGGAAGAAAATAAGCCAAGCTGAGTAGGCTCACCAAAGGATGCAACTATCTTTTTTGGAAAAGATGTTCCTAACCTGAGAAATAAGCAGGTAGATGGACGCAGGATGAGAGCAGAAGATTTCTGGGGGATGATCTGACCGTGCTGAACTCCTAGGGTTCGGTATGTCAGGGAACATTCCTTCCCTCTAATTTTCCATTGTAATATAAATCACAATTTTCTGGGTACATGACCACCTAGAACACCAGTCACATTTTCTAGCTCCCTGACAGCTAAGTTCTGGCTAATGGGATGTAAATAATTCTTAGAAAGTGTCCTTACTGAGAGAAACCAATTTCTCTTTTCCTTTCTTCTGCTATGTGGAATGCAGGCATGATTGTTGGAGCTCCAGCTGCCACCCTAAACAAGGATGATGAAGGGCTCACCTAAATAGGAAAGAAAGTATTCTAGGTTGCAGAGCTGCTAGGCCAGTACATGTACTACTTTACTTCCATACTTTTTTGTCTGAAAGCTAAATAAATTCCCATTTTGCTTAATGTACTGTTACTTTAAATTTGTAAAAAGAAAAGAATGAAAAAAATTAAGAAAAGAGAAAGCCCCCTTGACTTTGCATAATAATGATAATATCAACAGCTCATATTTATTGATGTGCCAGGCATTGTGCTAAGCACTCCACAATATATTTATGTAATTCTCATAACAAACTGTGATTAGAAAACTGGGTATCAGAGAGCTTGAAAAGTTGCCCAACTTCATGAAGCTAGAAAGTGGGGAATTTGAGCTCAAGTCTATCTCCAAGCCCAAGTTCTCAACCAGTCAGCCAGTGTTTCTCAAGTCTGTGGTTCGCCACTGATTCTGTATCAGAATCCTGAGAGATGTTAAACATGCAGATTCCTGGACCCCATCCCTGACCTATTTGACCAGAATCTCTTAGAGTATGATTCAAGTAGCTGTATTTTCACAAAGCTACCCCAGTGTCCAAGTCTGACGCTCTCATATCTGAGGTATATCTTATTCTAACTAAAATGGGAGCAATGAAATTTTGATGGAGGTTTTATAAAAGGCTAAGATGCTTTTTTTTCCTTTCTTTTCTGGAAGACATCCAGTGCAAGTGGCTTATGTACTTTCATGGCTACTGACCATGTATATAAAACTAAAATTGTGCTAAATGCTTAAGTCTCTTTGAAAATGCATTAACTCTGAAACCTTGAGATAGTGCTAAAGTTTTGTTGAACATTGATTGCCCTAAGGCACTGGTGGACTGTCCACTGGAGTTGGAGAAAATGCATGGCACCCCAACATGTGTGGTCAAACATATATCGTTTTCAGTATTATGATACCAAGTATCAACTGTGGTACTTTCTTCAGGTAGGATATTAATTCATACTTGTTTCTTTTGGTTGATGGTTGATACCTTTTCCACTGATTTAAACTTGCATATTACTTTTACTCCATACGCCCAGTGGTCATATATTCCAAAGTCACTGGACCACTTGAGTACGTAAGTGCCACTGTTTAATGAAATACATATATTTAGGTCTGTAAAACTCACAGTGTGACTTGGAGTACTGCCTGTAGATGACTGATTGCAGAATATTTACATGGACCATGGTGGTATACAAAAGAAAAATGCTTTTATATTTATAGATTATTTCACTGAACTATATAAAATGAGTATCAATAAATGTATTATCTCCCCCAAACCCAACACACACAGAATCATCTTTTCTCCATCTCCCTTCAGTATAGGTAACTATTGGGAAAGGGAATTATAAATTCTATTTTTAACATGAAAACTCTTTTCATCTTCTTTCTCTTCATTTGGATAATTTCTTCCTGGCATTCTGAGTTCCACATTCATATCCATAGGAAATACTGGCTTCTATATCGTAAAGAAGGAAGAAGGGAAGGGAGAGAAAGAGAGAGACTCTGAAGAGGAGAAGGAAGTTAACATTGATCGTGGTTCCGGCAAGCCATAGAAATTTTTCTTATGTTATTGCAAAACTGCATTTTCCATATATTATCTCATTCATATGATCTCAAAACCTTGTGAAAAGGAAGTATCACCCCAATTCAGTGAAGAAGAAACAGAAATTCTGAGATGTTCGATGTCACCATGCAAGGTCACATAGCCAGTGTATGGCAGCCCCGAGGCCGACTTAGGCTTATTTGACCTCAAAGAATCTTCAGTCTCTTTCATCCGACTGAAGTCACCAAAGTATGTTTTTCCATCATAAAACTCATTTGAGGCTCTGTTTTGTAATTAAATCTGAATAGGGTGTGAATGCAATTTGCTTCTTTCTGGCTGCATTAGCATGAATTACTGAACTCCAGAGCCCTCACATAAAAGTTAAGCACCTGAAGAGACTCAGCTGGTTGATTCTATCCAGTCCTCAACTGTTCTCTCAAGGGAAAATGACTCCAAGCGCCACATCAGCTATCAGTGTTGTCTTGTTGGTAACAGCGTTCATCACCTATAATTGTTGCCCCAGGTGCAGGCGGGAGGGGAAATGGGGATACAGTGGGTATGGATGTCTCACAGTCAGGTCATTACCAAACTCTTTTTCCTAGTGTTTTCCAGAAAGATAATACAATGGAAATTTGTGTGTGCCTAAAATGCTTTTTTTTTCTGAGATTCAAAAAGCTCAACATTTCTGTGCTTCTGTAATTTGTCTATTGATATGTCATCTCAGTAGGGTCTGAAAGCCACAAGGGTCATGCTGTTGATGGAGGGATGATGCACAGAACTCAGAAACAAGAACACAGGGCATGTGAAGACACTAAGAGTGAAAATATGTTGGAGTAATTATGAATGTTGGTAGTAAAATTATGGCAAGCATCCCTTCTCAGGAACCAGCTCTTTGCTTCCCATTTTCCGATAGGCATGTTATTCACTCTGAACGTACCACACACACAGGGTTATGTAGCCTGGGCCAGCCACTTAAGAGTCCCCAAGTCCTGCTGGCATAGTGCTTAGTACAAGTCAGGCATGTGCTCCAAACAGGGCCAATTCGAATCTCCTTTGAAGTTTTATACATAGATACCAAAAAGAGTTTTTCTTACTTTTGGATCACAAGCCTTGAAGT